TGCTATTCCTCATGCCTATGAAGCCTTTTTAGTTTATTTATTTTTTTATTATTATTTATTTTATATTTGTTATCATTACTATGCCTGCACACCTGCTGATTGTTGATAGTTGTAATTGACAGGTGCAGATAAATAAATGAAGGTACAAAAAAAAAAAATAGGAGTTACCTTGCAACCTGATGACTTTAAAGATTACGTGTTCGAATGTCAGTGCCAGAGACATTTAACTCTAGCATTAATCCCATGTCATTTCTCATTGCCCGAGAAAAAAACCTATTGTTTAGGAATCTATCCCTGAATCAATAAAAACAAACAAAAAAAGTATATGTTTTAATAGGCTTCCATATTCCAATTCATTCGTACACAGTCAAGCGACAGAAAAAGGTGTGTAACATTTTTACCGGAGACTGGACCAAATATGATGTTTTAAGGAAAAAAGTGGAGCAACATTTTGGATTAAGGATGGGAGACAAGAGGCCAGCAACAGCATCATCCACAACACCAAGTGAGCTTACGAAATTTCAATAAAATTCACACCCTAATTTTCGCCTGGAGCAATGATGAGAGGGCGTCAACTAAGCAGTGCATAAGATCCAAATTGTATTTTTTCCCCTATCATTTATTCATATTTCAGTTTATTTAAAAATGTATCAAAATCCACAAATCATTATTTTTTTGTATTCCTTATTTACAATATATATAAATGTTTAATTTCTGAATAATATCCTATCCGTATACAGGCTACTCCCAATTCAAACTAAAATCAGACCAAAATACACTTATGAGATCTATGGGCAATGTTTATCTCTCACTAAATTTTCAAAACCGACCACCCATGAAACCGAAAAATGCGAGGTAGGGGAGAAATAAAAATAAAAAAGAGTTTCAAAATATAAAGTACTACTTATTACATTCTGAGAGGTCTTCTTGCTTCGGATAAAGATATTGAGGATATAATGTGAGATATATTATTTTTCTTATGTATCGCATGCCACCCTCTTGATATGGCTATACTTGCTTAAGTTACTTAAACCTATAATAAAAAAAAAAAAATTAAGAGGTGTTATTTACTCAGTTTTTTAATTATTGACTCTTCTATATAATAATTTTGCTGAATAGTTACAAAACGTAATGCTAAACAAAAAAAAAAAAATCGGTTAAATAAATTATTAATATTTTAATGAGAATGGAACTTATTTCAAAAGTTTACCTCATAAAATATTTTATATTGTTCATAATATAATTGGTATTAAAATATCAGAATTGGTATTTTGAATGTTCTAATACTGTATTTTCATCCATAATTGTCAATTATCAAAGAGGTTTCGAGCTTTGAAATTGAGTACTAATCTAAATAACTTACATACATGGGGAACACAGTATTATTTTTAAAAGAGTTGTTTGAAATTGATTTTGTATTTTGGCATGAGTGAACCTAAAAAAATTTGAATACTTGATGGTTGACCGTTGTCCTGAGCGTCAGTCATAAAAAGGCTGAAATAGTGAAAACAAATTATTTGAGTAATCTACGATAATTGTTACTATTTATTTACTTCAGTTTAGGATCTTGTTACTTAGTTATACTTCGTTTAATCTGTTTATATAGTTTATTGTTGTTTATATTTCTACGTACTTGCTATTCACACTGTTTATAATTTTCGTAAGTGTATATTTTGTATATAACATTATGTAACTTCCACATTTATCTATAGCCTTTTGTGTCTTGTTCGCTTTAGTCCTGAAGAAGACCTGCAAACTCGGGTCGAAACGTTTGCTTGAAATAAAATTAATTTTTAAACTATTTCAGCATTTTTATGATCGCCATTCTGGATCATCTCCTTTCTCAAAAAATTTATTAATTTATTAATATTATTAACTTAGAGTTTCGAATATAAACTCTTCTACACCTGATTGAAATACACGGTTTGCCTGGCAACCTGATAACTTGAAGATTGCGAACTCGATACCCCGTTCTTTTCCCTGGCACGGTAAAAAACCGCGTTTAGCCAAAAAGGCGAGTTAGAAGAGAAAAATAAAAAATCCTAATCCTAATGTATTATGAGTGTCATTAATGTTATAATATTGTTTCGATTTGCACGAATACAAATTTAAATTATTGCAATTAAAATAGGTTATCGCCTCATTGTATAACATGTCTTTTTGTATGGCTGATTACATCCTCAGCCTATCTTAAATTAAAGATATAAATCAAAAAGCCACGAACCACCCTCCCACAGCCTCCTAGATCAGGACTAAAGCGGTACTCGCGAGGTGATTATAATCGTGGCAGGTCTTTTAAAAAGGCCCCTGCGGAAGGAAAGCGGAGGAAGTGAGATATGCCTCTTATATATTTCACGGTCCCCTGTATAAACGGCCGGCTATTAGGGCTTTACACCCTCCACAGAGACAAAAACTGTCGCTTAAAGATTAGGGCATCCTCTTCTTATGTTGCGTCCTACCGCTTACACACCCTCGCCCAAAAGATGAAGGATGGTTTTAAAACTCCCTTGAACTCTTCGTCTTCTCTCTCTCCCCTTCCCGCTAGTCCCCGTATAAAAATCCCCCAAGTCCTGAGGAATCACCAGAGGATGGAATGAAGAGAGCTCGGATATTCCTGGCGCCGACTCTTATAATTATTCTCTGCACGTTGGGCTTAATTAATCTGCCGAAGAAGAAGAAGGGTTGGTGACGACACTGATGGGCTGAGAGGGCAATCAGATCATTTTTTGCGCCCTTCTCCCCCCCTCCTCCTCAAGAACTGCTGGATATAAATTGCTACCCCTCGGGCGAATGATTGATCTGGATCCGTCGGTCCATTTGTTACGGGATAAACCGCTTAGCCATTTCTTATTCTAAGACTTAAGTCCTGTAACGATATCTTTTCTAGCCAAGCATTTCACCGCTGGAGAAAGAGACCTTTTGTTTTTCCTCTAATAATTTGGTGCATTTTTTTTTTTTAATAAATTATTATTTAAACATATTATTTATTTACTACTATCAGCAATTACGGTAACATGCCTCAACATATATTATTTATTTCTAATGTCACGTTACAATTAAGATTCAACCATATTTAAACAAATTGAAATCATGATTATCTGACTTTATCACGGTGGTACAGACTATTAAGTTTAATTTAATTCGCTTCAAAACAGTTAATATCAGCTAAAATATAGCAAAAATTAATAATAGACACTATTTTTATCTTCAGACCTTTAATTACACCTAATTATAGTGATTTTTTTTTCTAAATTTCGCAGTCACATATATGTATTTATAAAAATAAAATTACCATTTCAACATCTGGTAGATAAGAACTGGGATCTCCTGGAGTCATGCTTTGCCTTCCACATAAAGCTTTGTTCAGAGTTCTCTCGGAAAATGTAAATATTGTATATAGTTATTTTATGCAGGTAGCAGTTTTATTTTATTTTTTCCAATGACTTCATTTTATCCGTCTTATGAGTTATTAACATCCGTCTTAAACTTCATGAATGCCTTCATCTCATCTTAAAGTACATCTTTTTTATCTACGAACATTCTAAGAAATAGAACATTTTATCATTAAATTAATTAAATGAAGTAGTGAAAACTCATAAATATTCATTTTCTTGTCACTTGAATCGTAAGATAATTTAATCACAAAATCGAGATAAAAGGTGGGATACAAAAATATTGGGCCGTTTGGCCTATATAACCTTGTTATCACATGTTGAGTGTAGTCAAGTGACTATATTTTTGAAGCCATCTTTCCCTCGGTTTTGTGATCAAATTATCTTACGATTCAAGTAGAAAGCAAATGGATGCTCATGAGTTCTTGTTACCTTATTAAAAAGACAAGGTTTGCCAATTTTTAGATTGAAAATGCACAGTTTTTTGAGAATTTTCTTAAATAAAAATGTTATATGTTACGATAAAATGAAGCCATTCGTGAAGATTTAGAGGAATTTTAGTAATGAAATGAAAAATTATTTTATTGTTCTGCGACTGTTGTCCCTTTAGAACAAATTATAAGAACAGATTGTACGTCTGTGTGGTCATAATTAGATTATAGATAATAGATTTACAATAAGAGTCGACTAAACGTAAAAATACTGAAGAAGAGAAAGAAAAGAACAAGAAAATTGTACAAATATATAAGAAACTAAAATAACCTAAATAAATTGAGGTAGTCTTTGGGGTGCTTAGATATTTCTCTTAGGTATATTCGGTAACCAGTCGGATTGAGAAAGGAGTAGGTGCTTAAAAAGGAGAGGTTTGAAAGAGGAAACTGATTGAGCGTGTCAATATCATCAGGTATGGAATTACAGAGGGAGGCGGCTTGAATTGCAAAGGATTTGTCAAAAGCAGCAGTTCGGTGAGGAGGGGGATAGAGGTCGGAAGTACGAGATCTAGTGGGACGGGATTGAATGGAGTATTTGAATTGTAAGCTTTGAAAAATATAGGAGGGTCGATGGGTTCTAATGATCTGGTACAGAAAGGTGACTAGGAAGTACTGACGGCGATAGGATGGGTAGAGCCACCTCAACTCGGTCTAATACCGGGTAATATGCGTATCCCTTGAGATTCCGAAAACAAATCGTAATGCGCAATTCATTAGGTGTTTTAGTTTGGCCTCGAAATCTCACGAGAGTCCACCATACACCATACAGTCATAGTCGAAATGGGGGAAAACAAGGGAGGAAACTAGTAGTTGACGGGACTTATATGGAAGGAGAAAACGTAGACGATTGAACTGTTTTAGGGTGGTGATAGTGCGACGGGAAATTTGGGAGTAATAATAAAGAGGAAATAATAATAAAAAGAGATAAAAAAAAGTGGTCTATATCGCTGAGTGATACCATTATAAATAATAGCAGGTGTGATCTCGGTGGTCTGAAGAATCTTGAGTTCTTACTGTTGGAAATTAAGGAAATTAGAAGGAGGGAGATAAAAGAGGAGCCAATCAGAGACAGACCTGGAGGAGGGCATTAAATCCGAGAAGGGTAGATCCCTCACAATTAGTCAATAAACAGGAGGGGCTCTCCTCCTGCTTTCTTATGTCCTGGATGATGGCTCGGAAAGTATTCATCAATTAAGGGGGCCTTGGTCGGTGGGCAGTGGGGTTGGGGTCCGTAGGCTTTGTGATATCCGATGAGACCACGTTTTTTCATCAGGTTTAACGATCGATGGAGAGATACTAGAGGACGAGAAGTAATCTTGTAGAGGAAATATCCTCAGATACAGATAAGGTTAAAGAATACAGCTTCGTTTTTAACTATGTCGAATGAAAAACCTCATTTGATTTTTATTCCGCGGTACATATCACTTTTTATGCAATTATTAACATAAACCGATAATTTTGTGAATGGCTTAAACTTATGGAAACCTACAACATTTTTATTAGGCATTTATAGAAATTAAGTATTTTCAATCTGAAGACTGGTAAACTTGTTTATTTAATGAGTACTAAAAACACATAAGCAATTATTTGCTTTCCAGCTCCTTACGTGATCTCCACTCCGAAAATTTATGTGGGTTATATATTTTAACGCTCCCGACGGCCCAATATTTTTGTAGGCCCAACGTTTTTTTTTTCGATTTTGTGATCAAATTATCTTCCAATTCATGTAGAAAGGGTAACTACTTCGTTAAATTACTTATTTTACTGAGCAAAAAAAAAATCATCAGGACGGTCCTCGGAACTTGACATTGAGATAAAATGGAGTCCGATTGTGTATTTCATACGTACCTGTAATTGATCATTTAATATAATAGAAGAAAAATATAATTTTTAAAAATAATTATTGGAAAGTAATAATAATAAATTAATAATTCTATTTGACAAGTACATAACACTTTTAATAATTATTTGGATTGGTATTTTCACGATTTATGATACTCCAAATATGTACAATAATTTTATAATTAATATATATATTTTTATTTTTTTAGTCAGTTCACGTTGTAAAACAGCGACTTAGATTCTAAGCAATAAAATTCCATTAGCAGACAGCTGAGAATTGCAGGAGTGAAGTAAAAAGTAATTCGTGCATGCTGACACCCTCCCTCCCCAACTTTAAGTTGGCCTAACCTCCACCCACCTTCCCTAATTTGTTTTGGGCCTTAATTTCCCTCCCTTCTTAATTTCGGTAATTTTTTGTTGTTTGTTTCTTTTATTACCTCAACAAGGCACTTTCTGTTTTAAGGCTTCTTTTACAAGATTATGAGTCCAGTTGAATTTGTTCTTATTTCTTCATTTGTATTTTTTTAATTTGAAACTTGTCATGTACCATGTATTGATTATATGCATACTGTATGTCTATCATATCAATCTTCCCCCTCAATCACGTTCGTATGTTACAAAAGACATTCAGGTATCTGACCTCTGGTAATCTGTACCTCAATTGCTTCTTTATTTAGGTCTTATCCAACTTGTTTCGCTGATTTTAAAAGTAGTAGAACATGATTTTTTTTTCATTATAAGGATTTGAATTATTTATATGGTTTACTAGGCTTGCCGATGTTTTGACCCATACATGTGGGTCATCACTAGGGCTTAAAATAAAATACATAAAAAATAAAGACAGAAATTTATAAACAAGCCAAGATAAAGAGATCAAAAATGCACATAATAAGATTGCAATATAAATATAATAAAACACCATGAAAAAAACCATTAAATAAAAATGAACAAGTGTATAAACAGTACTAATAAATTAAATAAATGAATCAAAAGTTTGCATAAAACCTCGTCTATTCTTAGCCCTATTTATGTATGCCTTTATGTATACGAATGTACCTAATCCTGCCATAAATATTGTTACAAGGAAATATATACATATTCCAACAGAAGAATTATTTTTTCAAAAACTTTACTAGAAAATAAAATGTATATCTATAGAGAGTAAAACAAAAAAGAAATTACTCAAAATGTCCCCCTTTTGTCTGGACACAGGCATTTAATCTCCGTGGCCAGTCATCAATAGCAGCACACAGCACTTCTTGAGAAAAGCGCTCAACTGCTCGGACCAGAGATCGTTTGAGACTTTGCATGTTAGGGTGTGCTCTGTTGCAAGTTTGGACCAAAGCCGATAATATAGTGGGTTGAGATCAGGGCTTCCTGAGAGGCAATCCGAGGCAGAGATGAACTTTGGAATGTTCTTTTGCAGCACAGCTGAGTTGACCTGGCCTTGTGAGCTGGAGCGGAATCATGCTGGAAAATCAATGACTTCCAGCAAACAGAGTATCATTTAGAGGCTTGATAACAGGTTCCAAAATATCGTCCTGATAGTCTTTAGCGGCTGTTTTAACTCTGTGTTTTACAAAAATGGAGCTTTGTGGGGCCATCAAAGCAAACTCCCCACCATACTATCACTGAGGATGGGTGATGACTTCCAATGACTTCCTGGGCTTCTTTAGAACTGTGTGCGTACACACGATCATTTTGGCGATTAAATTTTTCTTCAATTGTAAAAGTTTTCTCATCGCTAAACAAAATCTCTCGATGAAGACAATTGGAGTAACGACCAAAGAGCACTTTGCATCTATCCACTCTAATTATTTTTAGGGAAGTGGTGAGCATTTGTCCTGTCATTCATCGAAATGGACCAATCCTAAGGTCACTTTTTATTATGCGAGACATTGATCTGACAGAGATTCTCGTTTCTCGAGACATGATTTGTTGTTTTGAATGAGATTTCTTCTGATTCGAGCAGCCACTGCTCTCACTGCATTTGACATTCTTTGTCTATGTAATTAGGTAATAAAAACTCATGAATACCCATTTGTTTTCTGAATTGTAGAAAAAAATGATAACAAAATCGAAAAAAAAAAGTGGCTGATAATTTGATAAAAAGAAGTCTAGCCACGGACTATCATTTGTTAGCGGATTTTACTGTTTTCTTCTCTATCTTTTTTATTTTTTAGCTATGCAGCGATTATTTTGTTTCGTTTCTTATTTGTTCTGTATTTAGTTCCAAGTGTTTTGTAAATAGTTTCATTAGGTTTGTTTTCTATACATTGTTATTATATAAAAAACGTAAGGTTTTTTTGTTTATCTATTTATTTAATGTAACAGTTCTTCTGACCAGAAGAACAATTTTTTTTTTTTTGAAAGTTGTGTTATTCTTAAGGTACTTCGTCCCAGATTAAAGTTATTTTTCTATTACTACATCTCATTTTTTAGATGTATTTTTTTAATTTCGTGCTCTAATGATGAAGCCCTGATAGAAACGTTGGTAAGCCTAATAAACTATACAAAGATTACGAATTCTGATTTTTCGTCTTTTTCAAATTTAAAACTAACAGTCAACTATGTATCTATCTCTAGATATTTTTTTCGGAATAAAATATTACCCATTCATATGAAATTAAAGTAATAGCTTATTTATAAAAATTTTATTCGATATAATTTTTTTTAAATCAAAATTTAAGGTTTTTATACAGTCATGGACAGGTGCGGATAAAAAAGAAAAAGAAAACGTTTTTATAAATATAAATATTAAAATATTTAGATTTATGATATTTCTAATAAATAGAAATTCGACTATGTATCATCGTGATGACCTACGATGCTATAACATTCCCTTATTTACATTTTTTAAACAAAACAATTATGAATAATAACAATTTTTAAAAATCCATGAAAATAAAGATAAATTTAGCATGACCTTTTAAAATTTTAATAAACATTTCTCTCTTCCTCTTTGTTGGAAAGGTAATAAAGTGAGAGAGCAGAGAAAGAGAATGAGATGGAACAGTGGCCCCTTCCATCTCGCTAAAGATTCGGACTCCCTTTTATTTAATTACCATATTTAATTAAAAGGAGCTCAAATCAATATTAATATTGCCAGCCGGAGTGCTTTGTTTCCACCGAGTCGAGAAAAAGGTGGGAAAAAAGGGGCCACGTTCCACTTTAAACTTCGAAGAAAATTATAAATAATATTTATAATCTCCTTCACTTTTCGTAGAAACCGACTCCTGTAGTTGTTTTAATATCTGATACTTCATAATTAATTGGCATTTAATATTGTTCAGAGTCGGCCCGGTTAATCGAAATTAAAATTTAGAGGAACTATGTATTCCCAAATAAGATATAGACCGATATCGGAAATATAGAAATATTTCCAAGCTTATTTATGAAATACGCTTGGGAATACATGATTAATACGCTTATGACTAATAATTCGCACAGTATATCAGTCATTGAACTATAGGTAACGATTTTCGATTTCGACTGAGGATACAGGACAGAAAAAAAAAAAAAAATGGTGAAGGTTTTTTCTCTGCGTAAAAAGTAGTGTTGCCCAAATGCGAGATCGAGACGAGTCTTGGTCTTGCAAACTCATTCTTGGTCATGGTCCTGGTCTTGCGCAAGAGTCTCGCAACGTTCTTGCAGTTACTTATTAGCTTATTCTATAGTGATATTACTATAATTTTTTAGATAGGAGAACCCTAACTAAGCCCGAATGAAAAATTAGAGGAGTTAAATGCAAAAGTATATTGGTTATACCAATTCATTAACATATAGTAACTAAAATTGTCAAGCATTAGTAATTATTTTACCTTAATGTTTCTTTAAAAAATACTTTTTTTTTTTATAAGTCTTGGTCTTGCAACAGTCAGGCGGTCTTACTCTCAGCAAAGTGCACCAAGACCGATTTTGGGTAAAATTAGTAAAAAGTCAACATAATTATTGTGAAACGAACAAATATACTATTGAATATTTAAAATTGATTTGTTTATATTATAAACCTAATATATAAATATTAATTATGATATAAACATATTATGTTTGTATAGTTGTAAGGATATTTATTTATTTTTTGTTTTACTTTTTGTATATACTTGAAAATATCTTTAAAAAATATATAAATAGGAGTTGGTCGGGGGTGCGTTCAAATAAAAACTATAAACTAAAATATTATTTTATTGATTACGACCCACTTTGTAGGTCTTCATCAGAGCGTGGTATCTGCTGGAAGCAGATGGTAGACTTAATGATATGGTTTAACATGTTATTATTTACATTTCGTAAACGAAACAATAATGAATAATAATAATTTTTAAAAAATCTATAATAATAGCACAAAAATAAAGATATAATTTAGTATGACTTTTAAAAAATTTTAAAAAGCATTTCTATCTTCCTCTTTCTTGGAAGAGAAATATAATTAAAAAAATATAACTAAATATATAACGTATTTGTTTACATTAAACACAGAGGAGATTGGAGACAGCCTTCACAGCATTGGTACATTTCTAAAAAAATTGAGCTAAAAATGAATAATGTAAAAAAAGAGAAAAATATCTATGGTTTCTTAGTAAGTTCGATCTCAAATAAAAGTTAGTTTTTCACAATTCGACTAGTTTGTAAAGAAAAATATGATTAGAATTATGATAAATAAAAAGATAATAAAACAATTTTTAATGAATATAATTTTCTGTCAGAATCTTTACTTGTTGAGCGCTTGGCTTTCTAGCCTTTCATTTCTAAAGAGATAATTATAGAGAATATAAGTTACTTACCTATTATTTGGCCATGATTAATCATTTATCCTACCATGCTAGCTCAGGTGAGAAGGGTTAGGTTGGATATTATTATAAATCTGCAAAAAAAGGGTTAACAGATCTATTCATTATGGCTGTCTCCTCTTCGGCAAATATGGAGCATTCTCCTGGCAGTTTAAATTGGAACTGTTTCTCCTAACTCGGTACAACACATTTTACCGCTATATCCTTTCATGGAGGCATTCGAGGATAAGAAATCAATTTTTTTATATTTTTCTGCCAATTTAAAAAAAGATTTTTGTATTTCAATTAAAATACAATAAATTTATTGTATTATAAAAAAAATATTATTGTTTTTTGTATTATGTGTCTATATGTTGCCAGTGGACGAATGTAATAACCTAAGAATTTAGTTACTAAAATACCTCCCTATCTTTAATTAATTATGAATTTTAACGCTATGCTTAATCATTGCTTACTTAAAAGTGTCAAAGTCTCGATTCTGACGCAGCCGTTTCCTTTTTATAATTAGTACTAAAAGGTAAAATCATAAATGGTCTTTTGTTAATTCATTTTTGGCAGTAGCGTTCATAACGGTGAGAGAAGAGATAGAGAAAGAAGAGCAATCAAGGAGAGAGAGAGAAAGGGCCGTTTATCGGGAGGAGGGGGAGAGGGAATTTTCTTTCCCTCTTTTTGCAACCCTTTCAGAGGGAGATGGAAGAGAGAGGTTTGATATTATATAACGAGGGAGGACGAGGCGGGGAAAAAAGCAATAAAAAGCCCTCCCCCTCCCCCAGCGTCCGCCCCGCCATTTTATTTCCCTTTGTTCTTTTTCAACGTCTGGAAATTGCAATCTCCTCCTCCCCTCCCTCATAACTCCGGCCTCTTCCTCTCTTACTTCAGATGGAAAAACCCGACCTGGAAAATTTAAAATGTAAAATTCCTCTCTTTCCCTAGCCTTATTTCTTCACAGTTCTCTCCCCCGAGCTTTGCATAAACTCTTAAGAGCATCCAATTTTTTTCTATTTTTCAAATTATCAAATATTTAATTAATAAATTTTTTAAATTATCGATTTGCTATATCACATTTACAAAAATATTTCCCCATAAATCATTATTGGAATGAAAAGCAATTCAATAATGACCAAAGTGTAGTTTTGTTTTCCTACCGCTACTCGGTAAGGAAAGTATTACGGTCTAGTCAAATTTCCGATGTGCGGTTTTCAAGGAATTTTTATATTTCAAAACCCACTGAGACCGAAAAATACATTTTCAGCGATTGGTCTGTCTGTGCTAGTGTTGTCCAAATGTGAGGCCGAGACGAGGTTGGTCTTGCAAACTCAGTTTTGGCCTAGGTCTTGGTCTTGCGCAAGAGTCTCGCAACAGTCAGTCTTGCAGTTACCTATTAGCTTAGTACTATAGAGATATTACTGTGTTTTTTAGATAGGAGAAACCTAACTAAGCCCGAATGAAAAATTAGAAGAGTTAAATGCAAAAGTATATTGGTTATATCAATTCTTTACATATAGTAACTAAAATTGTCAAGCATTAGTAACTATTTTGCCTTAATTTTTATTGAAATAATCGATTTTTTTTTACCTGTCTTGGTCTTGGTCTTGCAACAGCCGGCGGTCTTAGTGGCAAAGTGTTAGACCAAGATCGATTTTGGGCAACACCAGTCTGTGCCAAGATTATCTCGGAAACGTGTGAATCGCCTTTGTTGCTTCCTTTTTTATGTTTTAGGATTTTGACTACTGGCGCCTGTAGAACAAATAGGGCTCCTCATATACTGTAATGAAAAAACGGTTCAAACGATTTTTAAATTACAGTATTAAGTT